GATCTTTCTGATATATGTTTGATTTAGCAAGACGAAACGAATGAATGGAGATTGGATTGGACTGCTTATACGTGTACAAAATCCCTCTTGTCTTTGTCTCATAAATAAGCACAGTTCATCTTGCAATGTAGATCTGATAATTATTAGCAGTGTTTAGAAATATACTGAAATGTAGCATTGAAATGTATAATATAGGTATACGTGAATTATAGATTTTCAATACTACAAAGAAGAGAAATAATGTTAAACTAACAGCATCTAATTGAAAATAATTTTGTTAATCTATATATAATATATACAGTATTAATGCAACAAATATACCATCATTCTCTTGTTAAAAAAAAGTTATTAATTTCATTAATACTATTATTGAACGAGCAAAACTTTTGAATAGATTGTTGCAAATGCTGTTAATACAACATTTTTTCTATGTATCAATATATTTTTAAACGCAGTAACTATAATATAAAAGTACTCTCTTGTATCAAATTTGATAGCTGGAGTGGTTAAATAGTAGCAAAGCACAATATATGTCAGCTAATATTCTTAATCTTGCTGCAAATATTATTAGTTTCTGTTGTAAAAAGAAATTAACTTAATAAATATATTTAGCTAAACATCATTTTACTTTAGCAGCGAATATATTTCGCTGCAGCACCTTATAAATAGTAGATAATAAATTGAACTTTGACAGCAACACAATATTACCTTAATAACACACTTTATCCGAAATACTCTTAGGGGATCCCTTCTTATCTTGGGGATGTCCTTAGGATGTTCAAAGGACATATAGATATCTGTGCTGTTAGAGTAGCTATCCCTATAAGAACACATTTTAGCTGCGTTGGCTAATTATTTCTCTGTATGTATACTCCTGTATTAGCAAGGGAATTCAAGCTCTTTAGACACTTTTTTTTATAAGTTTGACATCTACAGTTTCATGATCTTATATGTAGTACTGAAGTCAAACGCTCATGTCGCTACGCTCATCTTAGCGCCGGGCACCATGTCTCCTAATAAATTTCCGTCAGCATATTTTATAAAACCTGCAATATCTGATGCAGTCCTCCAGCGTACATACACTGTTCGCCGAGACTGAAATAGTGCAATTATGCGTGCTTACCTCAACGCACAACATCCTCTCATGCAAGATCTTTTCGATTATTGCCATTCTCCACGAGGCAATATCACCGAATACGCGCCCGTATTGAAAACAAAAGCGAACTAAGACGTGATTAACAGCATATCGAACATACGGTTGGAGCAACCCGACCGCTGCGTGCGACATAACATTTTATTTGTAACATGCAGGGCGACAAGCGAGATAAGGCAAGTTAAAAGTTCAATCATTCCTCTCAGTTCCTCTCGCCGCACGCGAGATATCTGACTTCTGAAGTTGAAATCGCAGATGGTTCATTGCACACGTTTCATACTGCACTCGCCTGCACTCGACGCGAATCAAATATAATTAAATTCATCTTTCTCATGTAAGTCACATTTCTCTCCGTTTTATGGAGGACCGGATACACGTGCAGTAAGATTACAAGAAAAAGGCAGGAAAAACAAAGTGTGATCGAGCAAACGGCTCAGATTTTGTGTACATTTGACCGTTATCTGGATTATCTCTTTCGATCACTCGACCTCATCTGCATCTGTCTACATCCACGGCATTTCACGAATGCTTGGCGTTTGGCTCTATCTTGCCTATCCATGCGGTGTGTTAAAAAACCGGTTGTTTTGTTGACGTTTTGTATGTAGGCGACACCACGCGTACTGAGCAGGATGATCAAGATTTCGGCGCTTAACGAAGAGTCAAGTGAAGAGAGCGAGGAAGAGGATTTACCCACGATCACGAAGGAGGCACAGGTAGAGCAGCGCATCTATTTACATTATCATATAACCTAAAAGAGACGTACGAAGATATGAATATCTTCGACGCTTCTCTGTTGTTTTGTATTGTTATCGACAATATTAATTTACAATGCATCCTTGCATTGATTATCCAGCATGGATAACTAACGTTCGAAGAGCGTTCAGAGATCCTTATTCAACACCAGGTGGGATACAACTTGTGTATATGTATGTGTGTATGGTGTGTAACACAAAGTAATAATAAGAATATATATCAATATTAATTTCCTACTGAACAATGTAACTGTAACGTACAACATGTATTAGATTACATTTACATTATTGAGTGAGAATTAGAAATGTAATGTTACTGTTACTTTGTATTTAGCAGATAATCATATTCCAGTGAAGTACACTTTAAATTATCTACCACACCAGTACATTTTATCTAAGAGGTGTCCTGGAAACGTTCTTATTCAGATAGCATCATGTCCAAAATAAAATATCATAAAGGTGTCTTAGATTGGAAACACATTGAAGACTAAGATTGAAGATTAAAAATTTATCAATGAGGACAAAGAAATTTTAGCTCCTTTTGATTTGATTGAACAAATTTCAATCTTTCAGTCTTTAATATATAGTAATACTGAGAATCATAAAGTTGATGATAAAAGTATCAGATATTTAAATTGAAATTTGGAGGAATTCTAAATATTATATTGATATGTGTGTTAAAATGTGAAATAATTTCTTCCAGGAACAAATAGCATTGACGGAATACAACAAAGCTTTGGAGCTGTTAAAAGAAAATAAACGTGAAGAAGCGCTGGTCGTCTTCAAGGATCTCTTAGAGACTGAACTGTTGGATGGAGTGGAAAAGCCTGAAGTACCAGATGGCAGGTCCAGACCAATGTTGTCCTTAAAATATTCCTGCTTCAAGAACATTGGCGCTATTCAAGCGGCTTGTGAGAATTATGAGGAAGCTGTGGAGAATTATTGGGAGGCTGCAAACCTGGACGATTCCGATGTAACATTGTGGCATAGGATCGGCACATTAGCTATGAAAATTTCCAACTTGGAATTAGCTTGCTCGGCATTCAAGCAAGGCCTAAAATGCAATATTAATCACTGGCCATGCTTGGACAATCTCATAACTGCCTTATATGCCGTTCCTGATTATATGAACTGTCTGTTATATATTTCGGTGGCATTGGAAAGGGATCCTAATTACGTGAAGGGTCTGGCTTTTCGTGACAAGATATTTAAAGACATTCCATGTATGGAAGAATGTTATAAGCTGTATAATAGCGACTGGCAGATGGATCCACCTTTGTATACTGAATATGATCATGTATTGGCTGACAAATTATTAGCAGAGGCGAAGGAAGTTTCTAGAAAGTGGGTGGAAGTTTGCAAAGCAGAGTTTACACCAAAACCTTTACCAGAATTGATTTTAAGAATGCCTTTAACGAGCTGCACATGGTTGGCTCTCGGAGAAAGTCTATTAGATATGCATAGATATATTACTGATAATAATTTGAATTTTGTTAGTAAAATTGTATTATCAATCCAAAAACCTGACGATAAGAATACAGTGAGTAATGAAATAGAAACTGTAGAAAGTAGTGTAAGTATAATGGAAATAGATCAACAAAACGACTTGATTCCAAATGGAGAGACTGATATCAAACCTATTAAAATTGAAACAGAAGATTGCGAGATATCGGACGACAATCAAGTTTTTAATACAGATACAGTAATGGAAATTGAAATTGAAGACGACAAAAAATCTTGCTCAAGCGATGTGCAAATAGTCGAAGAGGAAGATCCATTGAGAATGTCTGACACAGATGGTTTACAAAGTGAAGAACAAACTGAAACGAAAAACATAGAATCAGAGGAACAAATGCATTCTGAAGCAGATGCAAATATCGACAAGTTAGAGAGCGACAAAGTCACAGACGATATATATTGCATAGATAGTGGAGTACCTACTGAGAAATGTAGTGATAAGGAAAGTGATAAATCAAGTGATAAGGCTTCTGAGAAAGGTACTGAGAAAGCGAATGATGCAATGTGTAAGGCAGACGATAAAACATCTCATTCCGAGAAAACTGATGGGAAGGAAGAAGGACAGAAGGTGAAAAAAAGACGCAGAAGTGCATTATGTTTTCTGCAACAATGGGCCTGGAGTTGCAGCAGCATGAGGCGATCCGCGAGAGTAAGAGGACCAAACAGAAGGGAAGCAGAGAGGGACGATGTTCAGTTAGAAGAAACACTTAGAAGATTATTTCCTAGTACCTTATTGTATGTATATTAATGACTCGTATGTAATTAGTTTGAAAATATAAAATATAATTTCCTTAATCATTTTTGTATAGACCCGACACGGTAAGATTGACTAAAGATGACGCTACTAAAAATCTAGATGATTCCATGGATACTATGGATATGTACCAATTATTTGCGAATCAAGAGAATAATAAAAATGTGGAAACTCTTAAATGCTCGGAAAGTTCTAAATCGCCAAGTCCTGACACAAGGTGTTTATCTATAATTAAACCTTTATCGATGTAATAATATTATTATAATAATATTATTATTAATCTGCGACTATATTTTATAGTCAACCACAAAAATACTTTGGAACAGAAACTGAAACTGCCGATGTGGACGCATTTATAAATCAACATAGCAGTAAAAGCAATTTAATGATAATTATCACGAAATTTGCAGAATTTTTATGTACTAAATGGAATCGAGAATGGCCGAAAGGAATGTCAGATATTTATTTACAAGCATATGTCTTTATGAGGTAGGATTGCATTCGGAAACCACCTGAATAACCTGTCATCTTATCCTTGTTTAACATAGGGTGAACAACAAGGATAAAACGATACATGGAGGTATTCAGGTGATGTTTCCGAAAGCAGCTTAAGTATATAGGAATTGATTTTAATTTTTAATTAATTTTATTAAAAACGAAAAATTTGAGTTAACAATTTTTTTTTAGACAACATATTCCACATTTATCACCATTTGATGAAGATGCCAATGACAAAATTCTGAAATTAGATACCGAAACGACATTGTTATTTGGCGAACTTCATACAGACAGATGGTTAGATAATAAACCAGACACCATGCCAAATCCAACGTAAGATTTCAATAATTTTTTCTTTATATTATTGATAAAAATAATATATAT